TCCAAGGAGCTGGGGCAGCAAGTGGTGCGCAGCCTGCGGCAGCTGGCAGCTTTCTGTGCCCGCGATGTGCGGGTGGCCGACCTCTGCGCCCAGACCGACCTCGCCGCCCAGCGGTAAGCTCACCCCAAAACCACTCCCCACCCACCAGCCCCAGAGGCCTGGGTCCCCCCGGCAAGCGGTGGGGGGTGGACGAGAGAGGTGGGTGATGCCGTGTGTCGCCAGGCCAGTGCTGATGGAGAAGCCGGATGTGGTGGTGGGCACGCCGGGGCGGGTGCTGGCACACCTCAGCGCCCGCAGCCTGAGCCTGCGGGACTCGCTGGAGCTGCTGGTGCTGGATGAGGCTGACCTGCTGCTCTCCTTCGGCTTCGGCGAGGACATCAAGTCCCTGCTGTGGTGAGGGGCACCCCGGCGTGGGGGGGCACTGTAGGGGTCCTGGGGGGGCACTGCCAGGGTTGGAGGACGCGGGGGGCACAGCCAGGGGCTTGGGGGCACTGAGGGTTTGGGTGGGACTTTTGCGGCTGGAGGACATAGGGGGTACAGCCAAGATTTTGGGGGACAGTGATGGGGCTGGGGAGGACACTGAGGATTTTGGGGGTCAGTGCCACGGCTGGGGGGCACTGCTGGGGTTGGAGGACATGGGGAGTACAGCTAGAGGTTTGGGGGGCACTGCTGGAAGTAGAGGACATGGGGGGCACAGCCAGGGGTTTGGGGCCACTGCCAGGGCTGCAGAGCACAGGGGGGCTGGAAGACACGGGGGGCACAGCCAGGGCAGGACAACATGGGTGGCCACTTGCAGAGCTGGGGGACGTTTGGGGTGCCTTGCCAGGGCTGAGGGGTGCAGTGGGGCTCAAGAGGGGGAAACCGGGTATTGCCAGCTCTGGTGCCAAGGGTTATGGGGGGCTGGCACTGAGCCTCCCCCTGCCCTGCGCCCCCCCAGCCACCTCCCCAAGATCTACCAGGCGATGCTCATGTCGGCCACCTTCAGCCCCGATGTGGAGGCCCTCAAGGAGCTGGTGCTGCACAACCCGGTGAGTGGGCACTTGGGGGGGCACGGGGAGAGGTTTAGGGTGTCCGGGGGGGGGGTACGAGGGGAGATTTGGGGGGTGCAGAGTGGGCACAGAGGTGGGGAGACAGCGGGAGTTGGGAATGCAGCACCCACAGGGGCACATTTTGGGGGACATACAGGGTACAGCAGACACGGGCGCACCAGCAGGTGGAGGGGGGTGGGGGCACGACAGGCCCATGCCCACGTCCCCCCAACCCTGTCACGGTGCGTGCAGGTGACGGTGCGCCTGCCGGAGCCGCAGCTACCCAGCAGCTCCCAACTGCGGCAATTCGTGGTGCACTGCGGCACGGAGGAGGACAAGTTCCTGCTGCTCTGCGCCCTGCTGAAGCTGAGGCTGCTGCGGGGCCGGGCCCTGCTCTTCGTGGGCACCCTCGCTCGCTGCTACCGCCTCAAGCTCTTCCTCGAGCAGTTTGGCATTCCTGCCTGCGCCCTTAATTCCGAGCTGCCGGCCCGCTCCCGGTAACCCCCAAGGGGACGGTGGGGTGCTCAGCTGGGTGAGGGTACCCCTGGGGTGGTGCGGAGGAGGGTAAAGGGGAAAGCGGGGTGTCCACGAAGGGCCCAGGGGGTGACGGGGTGCCCCCAGGGAGCAGGGTGGCTGCTGAGGGCTTGTGGAAAAAGGTGAGGGGCAGCTTTGGGTCGGGGGAAAGCGGGGTGCTCCCTGGGGACAAGGGGTGCCCGAGGGCATCTCGGGTGAGCTAAGGGGTGCCCGGGGAAATAGGGTGTCCTTGGGGTGCCAGGGGAAATGCCCGTGGGGGTAAGGATGACCTGGGGGGGTCCCAGGAGGGTGCAGGGTGCCCGTGGAAGAAGGGCAGGGGTACCTGTGGGTTTGGGGCAGGGGGGCGGACACCAGAGAGGGGTGCCCATGGTGGGGATGCTGACGGGCACCCGCTTTGTCCCCAGGTGTCACGTCATCACCCAGTTCAACCGGGGCATCTACGACTACATCGTGGCCACCGACGAGGAGGCGCCGGCGGTGCCTGCAGAGCAGCCCCCACGCAAGAAGCGCAGGGGTGCTGCCCAGAGGTGAGTCCCGTGGGTGCCGCTGTGATACCAGGGCGATGTCCTGCTGTGGCCAGGGAGGGCTCAGGCCAGGGAAGGTCACCCAGCGCTGTGGGGGTGCTTCTGCCTGGGGTGTCCCTGTCCCCACCAAGGTCCTGTGCCCAGAGGAGGTCCCTGTGCCCGCGGGGATGTCCCTGTCCCCAGGGGTTTCCCCGTGCCCACCATGTCCCCAAGGCGGGGGAGACAGTTCTCTTGCCCAGGGGGGTTTATGCCTCGTGCCCGTGTGCGTGTCTGCCCAAGGGAGGTCCCTGTGCCCAGCGTGTCCCCTTCTTTGTGGGGGTCTCCTTGCCCTGTCCCCGTGGCTCTGGGGTCATCGTGCCCAGGGTGTCCCTGTGCCTGTGTGGGTGTTGGTACCCAGCGTGTCCTCGTACCCATGGGGATCCCCTTGCCCGGGGTGTCCCCATGTCCTTAGGGGTCTCCGAGCCACCCCAACACCTTGTGTGTGTGTGCGTCCCCAAGCAAGGGCAAGGACCCGGAGTACGGCGTCGCGCGGGGCATCGACTTCCAAAACGTGGCCGCCGTCATCAACTTTGATGTACCGCCGACGGTTGAGTCCTACATCCACCGCGTGGGCAGGTACGTGGGGACACGGGGAGGGGACGTGGCGGTGCCCGCGGTGGCTGGCGGCCCCCTCGGGTGGCCGTCCCACCGCCGCGTCCCCTCCGTGCCCGCAGGACGGCCCGCGCCGACAACCCCGGCACGGCGCTAACCTTCGCACTGCCCGAGGAGCAGGATGCCCTGGCCCAGATCGAGGACACGCTCGCTGGAGGTCGGGGGGACACCGTGTCGCTTCGGGGAGGGGGACGGGGGGGGCAGCGGGTGCTAAGGGACGTCGGAGGGCTGCGGGGTGTCGGGAGCGAGGGTGGGGGTGACCCCACGTGTCCCCGTGTGTCCCCAGAGAATGGCGAGTCGATGCTGCAGCCCTACAAGTTCTCCACGGAGGAGATCGAGGGACTGCGCTACCGCTGCCGGGTAGGTGGGCAGTGGGCAATCCCGGGGAGGGGGTGCCAGTGGTACCAGCTGGCGGGAGGGTGCCAGGCTCTGACACCCCATGTCCCCCACTCCCAGGACGCCATGCGCTCCGTCACCAAGCAGGCGGTGAAGGAGGCCCGGCTGCGGGAGATCAAGGATGAGCTGCTCAACTCAGAGAAGCTCAAGGTAAGCCCCGCTCTGGTTCCCGGCGGGCTCGGGGCTGCCCGAGGGGCAGAGGGCAGCATCCTGGGGGTCTGCAGGTGTGGGGTGGGTACCGGGCGCTGCCAGCCCCCCCAATTCTCCGCCCCCAGGCGTACTTCGAGGACAACCCCCGCGACCTGCACGTCCTGCGCCACGATAAGCCCCTGCACCCTGCCATCATCAAGCCTCACCTCCGCAACGTGCCTGACTACCTGGGTATGTCCCTGTGCCCGCTGGCCGGCACTGGTTTTGGGGGAGAAAAGGAGTGGGATTTGGGACCCTGGGTGGTGACAGCGGCGTAGAGGCAAAATGGTGCCTGGGGGTGACGTTGTGGGGGGACAGGGATGTCCCTGGGGCCACCGGCACCCTCTCACCCGCTGCTCTCTGCCCGCAGTGCCCCCCAGCCTCCGCGGCATCGCCAAACCCCACCTCAAGAAGCGCAAGTGTCTGCGGCTGCGCCACGCTGGTGCCAACCGTCGGGGCGGCTCGACGGTGAGTGCGGAACGAGCAGGGAGGGACCCCCCACACACACATCCCCCTCGCTGCCAGGGGGTCCAACGCTGCTTTTCTTTCCTCCCCCACCTCCAGTCCCGCGGCACCGGCAACCCACTGCAGAGCTTCAAGTACGCCCGACGCCGTGCCAAGCGCCCGGCTGCACCGCCCTCCTGAGCTTCCCCCGGTGCCCCACGGACTCTGCCTGCTCCAGGGAGGGGGCACCGCGGCCGCCTCGCAGCCCACCCAGCCGAGGAACGGGGTATCTCCGTGCCGTACCCTGCGGGGCGGCCGTGCCCAATAAAGGTGCCAACGGACTGTCCCAGCTGTGTGCCGTGTTGTGCTGTCACCTTGCCGGGCGCTTCTTCTTGCCGGCCTGCGTGTGGTGCCCCCACCGGCTACGTGACAGGGGAAGGTTGGTGACGCAGGGGTGGGAAGCGGTGTCTCTGGTTGATGCCGGGCAAAGGTGCCAGGGCGTTATCGCCCCCCCCCTTATCGAGGCCAAGGCTGTACAAGGGCCATAAATCGGGGCAAGGACACAGTGGGGGCGTGGCACTGCCAGCTTTGGGGGGCTCGGGTCCCCCCAAGCGCCCCACCACCCCTGTGCCGACGTTGCCGTGAGCCTGGTAGCCTGGCACGTCTCTCCCCAGAGCTGGCACCGTGCCTTGGGCAGCACGCGGCTTGCGTGCTGCCTGCTCGCCCCGGCCGGGTGCCTCCTGGGGTGCCCAGGTTCACCCAGCCCTGCCCCGTGGCATACGAGGCAGGCGTTACCCCTCGGAGTGCCTGAAACCACCCGCCAAGGCATCTTATCAGGGTTATGGCGTCTTATCCGGGGCCACAGCTCTGGTCCAAGGCTGCATGCTGGTCCTGAACCATTCCTGACACTGGGGCAGAGGGCTCTAGCAGCGGCACCCTTCCGTGGGCACGGCAGCCCTGCTTCAGTAACAGCTTTGCTAACAGTGGAGGTTTTGCTGCCCACGCGGCGTGGGGAGGGAGACAGTTTCTCTTGCCCCTCGCTGCTAGTGGCCTGGCGCGTGCCACCGTGGCACTGCCGAGGCGCCTGTCTCTCCAGCGCTAGGCTGGTGGGATGCGTTTCCCACAGTTGGCACCATGACCGGCATGGCCTCTCTGCTTCCTTCTCCACCCTGCGAAACCCACAACCCCGCGGGGCATCCTGGGTGGGCACGGCTCCAAAACTTCCCTCTTTTCCCCCTCAAAACAAGGCTCTGCCGGGGAAGCGGGGTGCCTCCTCCTCAGGCAGGGGTGCCCCATGGCACCTCCCCAGCAGGGATGTGTCAGCTATCGATCAGAGTTAATGATCACAAGGGCTTTACAGCTCCGGCGAGGGCTGATTGGCTTCGGCGTCGTCAGGCCAGAAGACCTCACTGGCGGGCAACCGCCCAGGGGATACAGGGTCTTATAGGAGCCGGGAGAAGCTGGCGGCACCCTTTTGCCCAGGATGCCGGGCTCTGCCGCGCTGGCCGGCGTGGTGCTCGGCACCTTCCTAGCGCTGGTAGGTGCCTGGGGGTTGGCACGGCCGAGCCGGAGGGGTGCCAGGGGCCGGGCCGTGGTGACCGCTGGTGGCAAAGCTGTGGCAGCGCCTATGGGGTGAGGCTTGGAGGGGCCGGGGGTGGCAGAACCGGGGGGGGG